GTGACGTGCGACATGAGGAATCGGCTACGTAACGTTCGAGGGTTTACTCCAGCGCAGCGTGCGCTAGGACGGCAGCCCAGAGATCTGGGCAACATGGCGGACGAGCCGACGACGATGGGCGATCTTGGAGAGCACGACGAGGGATTCTACCAGAACCTGGGTCGCAGGCGAGACGCGGCCAAGGCCTACTTCGCAGCGAATATGTCGAGGGCAGTGCGAGAGGCTTTAGCGGCTCGCAACAGACCCTTAGCGAAGGAGTTCCAGATCGGCGAGTACGTCTACTTCTGGAGGCGCGACAAGGGCGAGAGCGACTTGATCAAGAGTTATTGGAAGGGACCGGCGATGGTGACGCAGGTCGAGTACACGGACGACCCCGACAAGCTGAGGCAGTCAGTCATCTGGTGCGTGCATAACAACACGCTGCTCAGGACGACGCACGAGTTGCTGAGGCCAGAGCTACCAGAGGAGCGGCGACAACGCGAGGAGGCAGATGATGATTTCGGTCTACCCTTGTCGACGGCGGAGAGATTGCTCAAGAAGTTGAAGAGCACGACCGGCTCCATCAAGTACAAGGATTGCGTTGGCGACGCGCTCGGGAACCCAGAGGGCCACGTAGACGACGGACGGCCCGAGGACATGGACATGGACGCTACAGGCGTGGACACTGATGGCAAGGTGGAGGAGCCAGTCGAGGAGCGCGCTCATCGTGACGAAAGGACGAGGAGCAGCGAAGAAGCCGAGCCAGCCGAGCGCGAGGTGAAGGAGGAGCAGCCGCAGTCAGCGGCGGCCGAGTCTCGACCCGAAACCGATCTACCGGAAGCCGATGGCGGGCGAGAACCTCATCTCGAGGCTCCAAGCCAAGAGAAAGAAGAGGACGCTAAACCGGAGGCCATAGTGGAGAAGCGGAAGGTGGACGACAGGGACGAGTTACTGGAGAGCATTAATGCGGCAAGACGGCTCGACGGGCTCAAACCGTTGGCTAAGAGACCAAGGATAACACCGATGAAGACAGAGACCATCAAGACGGACACAGGCGACGACGAGCTGCTACTGCTGTACGAGGACGAGGAGATGATCTACCTCACGAACGCGGCGAAGCGCGACGCTGTGGTGGAGGCCAGGCTCACGCCGGACGAGAAGGTGCAGTTCGACGAGGCCAAGACCAAGGCATTGCTACCCTGGATCGAGAACCAGGCGTGGCAGGCGGTGAACGAGGCGACGGCGGGAGCTGGCGAAGTGTGTCCGATGAGGTTTCTGCTGAAGTGGAAGATGAAGGACGGAGTTCGAGAGGCAAATGCGCGAGTGATTCTTCAAGGATTTCACTTGGAAGAGGCGACGAGCACTAACGTGGAGAAGGCAAGCCCTACTCTGACGAGGCTCGCGAGGTACCTCATCCTGCTCATCCTGTGCCAGCAGTCGTGGAAGATGGTGGCAGCTGACGTGAAGAGCGCATTCCTCCAGGCCAAAGACATTCGTGAGCAGGGAGTGCGCATTTTCAGCAGACCGACGAAGGACATCCGAAGGAGGTTGGCGAAGATGATGGGCCTAAAGGACGACGAGATATTGCAGATGCTGAAACCAGCTTTCGGGGATGTTCGCGCTCCCAGGCAGTGGAATCAGACGATCACGGAGGCCATGATCGACATCGGATTTCTTCAACACCAGTTGGATCGGTGCTGTTTTCTGTCGTACCGCATCGCGGCCGACGGCGACGACCCCTTTGTGGTGTGGAGCGCAGACGACGGACAAAACTACGTACTGGACGGTATTTTGGGTTTACACGTGGACGACTTCATCGGCGGCGGCGAGAACTTGGAGTGCGAGGCCGACCTGACCGACAAGCAGGCCTACGAGGGCACGTTCCTGGACAGGGTGCAGACTCTCAGCAGGCGCTTTAAGTTCGGCAAGTGGGAGCTTCAGAACGGTATTGTTTTCTGTGGTATGGAGACCACGCAGTCGCAGTCAAGGAACGAGATCGAGGTCAAGGCCGAGCAGTACATCCACAAGGTGAAGCCGATTAGCATCGAGAAGGTACGCCGCCAGCACCCGGGCGATTTGTGCACGCCGAAGGAGATAAGCCAGCTACGAGGACTTAATGGAGCTATGCAGTGGCCGGCATCTCAGTGTATGGTGCAGGCGGCGGCGACAGTTTCTTTTGCCCAAGGTGACGTGAGCAAAGCTACGGTTGGAAGTTTGCTGGAGGCCAACAAGTCATTGCGGTTCCCGAAGGCGAGTGGCGACGTGGGCATCCGTATTCGTGACGTGTCCAAGTGGGAGCAGCTACGACTTGGAGTGTATTGGGACGCTCCATGGGCAACAAGACTTAACGGCGAGTCGCAAGGAGGCTACGTGATCTTCGCGATCGAGGACGACAGGATCGACGACGGCCAGGCCACGTTTTTGGTTATCATCGATTGGACGAGCAAGAAGTTGGTTCGCATTTGCAGGAGTTCTCTGTCCGGGGAGGCTCAGGCGGAGGCCAACGCGGTGGGCGCTCTGGAGTTCGCGAAGACGATGCTGACCACGATGCTCTACCCCAACATGCAGCTGACGGGGCCGGACATGTTGCAGGTGCTAGGGCGAAGCCCGTGTATCACAGACTGCAAGGCGCTCTACGACGCAGCCAATTCTCAGGCGCCAGCCGGTGGCCTGACGGAGCGCAGGACGGGCATCGAGATCATGCAAGTGAACGAGAAGATGAAGGAGTTCGGCGGAGTGTGGAGATGGACGAATACACATCAGCAGATGGCGGACGGGCTGACTAAGTTGCAGGTGCGGCAGCAGTTCGTGGAGAAGCTGAGGAGAATGACACACGCGCTGAAGTACGACGCAACGTTCACTGCAGGCAAGAAGGTTAGCCAGCAAGAGCGTAACAAGAACAAGCAGGAGCTGAACGACGCGGCGGCCGACTTCGACGAGGCGAATGCAGTGGACCAGACACCAGATGAAGTGCCAGCGCGAGAGATGGTCAAAGCGACGAGGGCAGGTACCAGGACAGCACAGAGACTCGCGGCGCTGGTGGCGATCACGGCGGCTACGACGACAAAAGCAGAGGAGACATGCCCAAGCCTGGACATCAACGAGACGCAGTGGATCTACGTGACCGTGCAAACGATGTTGCTGGTTGTGATGGTGCTGGTTTGCGGTTGTTGTTTGTGTGTGACGTGCTACATCAAACGGGCGAATGAGCGATTCTGGAGAACAAATAACGAGGAGATGAAACGCTGTTTGAAAGATACGCCAGACTCATGCGGAGACGACAACGCCGAGTATATGCAGATGAAGATAAAGATGAGTGAGCAAGCCGACGAGATCGAGCGCTTAAAAGAGACGAACGAAGGGCAACGGACTAAGATCGAAGAGAGAGCCAAGCAGATAGTCGACATGCAGCCAGACATGGAGAAGCTGATGACGGATTTCGAGCAGCGCGGCAAGAGCTTGGCGGCATACGAAGAGAAGTTGACCAAGACCGAGAAATTACTGAAGGACGCTAATGAGGAGCTTAGATTGTGCTATAAAAGGCTGTCGGCGCTGAACGGTTCGAACGACAAGTTGGAGCGGCAGCTGAATAACGTGAAGAACGAGCTACGGCAGATGACGCTGAGAGCTCGAGACGTGCCGGAGCCCAAGCGGATGAGGTCGGCGAACACTCAGTCACAGTGTACGTATCGACGAGATCTAGCCACGCCGAGGTTTCAGGTGATACAGTCGATGAACGAGCCGACGGTGATCACGACGGAGGAGTTTACAGCAGGTTCCCCATCGGCGAGCTCGAGCAGTTCATGAACGGCGTGGTGATGGTCATCGTATGTGGGACCTACGATATTCAGGAAACCAGGGCACATATCTCGACTCTGTAGTTGAAACGGTGCAGGTTTTCTGATTTTTCTTGAGTTGATTTAGGTATGGCAACGCGTGTGTATTTGTAGTATACTGAGGAGTCGGGGCTTAAAAGCTTCTTTTCTTTCCCCTGTGTCAATGGCACAGATCCTGTTCCAATGTAGTAGCTATGCATGATGTAATGATTGCTAGCATGCACGTGTGTGTTGCTTGCTTGCTTGCGGTACATACTTGCGTGTAGGTGTGCGCGCGCCCGCTGCCTGTTTTGACTCAAACTGATTCGTAGGGGGCCCTGAGCTGATAATAACTACGAGCGGATCTTATCGATCGCAATCTATCCAATTTCATATTCGGTTTGGAACTTTGTGTGTTCAGACTTCGGTGGTTCTATTGAGTGCTACCGACAGCGAGGACGTCGTCTATCCTGGACGGGCGGCCCGAGCTAGGCAAGCACGTGGATCTGGCCACTGTCAAGATGTCCTGCCGGCTGGCCATGGCCAGAGGGGCTCCACGCTCGTGACATGCACCGCGATGTTGAAATCGCCCACCAACAGCGCACGGACATCCCCCAGCGAGCGAAGCCAAGACACGGCGGCCACCAGCAGCGCCTCGTTGTCCTCGGCCACGGACGGGCCGTCAGCATAGCCATAAACCTGCGCGAGCCCGCCCGCGCCCGCCGCCGCGGCCGCGCGCGGACTACCCTACACGCGGGGCCCGGGCGCCGAGGGCCAGGCCGCTGCGCCTGCCCAGCTGGCTTGACAGGTGATGCCTTGACAGTGGCTACGGAGGTCCTGCCTGCCGAGGTCCCCACAGATCCATCCCTCAGGCGTTGGCTATGGAGACATCCCCGCCTAGGGATGAAAGCATGGACGACGGATACCGGCGGCATCGACAACATGGGAATCCAAAAGGTACCCATACCGCTACTCCTCGGATCTCTCCTTAGGTGCGTTCTGACCAGAATTTCGAGGCGAACCCAGCGGTGGCGACGAGGGCCTCCCAGGAGCCCCAAAAAGGCGAAACGAGGCAGGGGCAACGGCATCGGTACCCGGTACCCGTTCCTCTTCTAAACAACGCCGACGGCATCGACAACATCGGTGGCGGCGTGCGGCGGCGCCCGCGGCGTGTCGGCGGCGGCGGCGCCGCGACCCGGACGCGTCCTTCTCGAGCCCGGCGCCGCTGCTCCGCAGGTGCAGGCGCCCAGCGTAGACGGGCACGTTGCACGCCCGGCTGATCCGCTGCTTCAGCTGGGGGCCGCCGCCGGGCCGGCGTGGAAAGGGCGCGCGGCCTAACCGACCCCTATAGCAAACCATCCCCTTCCGTGACGTCACCCTCGCCTTTCAAATTTCAATCTGGTCGCGTACATCATCTTGTGGCGAGGCGAGGGAGACGTCACGGAAGGGGATGGTTTGCTATAGGGTCGGTTAGGCCGCCCCTGAGTGGAGAAAGAGGCCTAAGAAGACGCACGCACACACACACACACACACACACACACACACACACACACACACACACACACACACACACACACACACACACACACACACACAAATATATAGGTACAAGTTAGAGGATTCCAGACAGTTTGTAGTCCCACCAGCCCTTTGGGCGTGAGTGGTTTAGCGAGCTCTCTCTGTTCTCAACCCCCCAACCCCCCTTCTTCCCCTTCGGGGAAGGGTTTACCCCTCCCCCTACCCCCGCCCCCTGGGCCTGGAGAGGGAGTCCCGCGGGTGGTCAGGGGGGTCTTTTTCGACGCCTGGGAGGGCCAAAAAACGACGACCCTCACGAGGATTCTGGCTCCGACGGGGAAACCCTCTTGTAGCCCCCTCCTCTTCTGTGAAGCCAAAATCATTGTTTTTACGAGGGTTGTGGCCCCATTTTGGCCTCCCGAGGGGGCCGCGCTCATCTTCCTTCATAGCAGAATCATTGATTTTACTATGGTTTTGGGCTCATTTTGTCCTTCTCAGGGGGCAGCGCTTCTTTGTGCTTCTGAGGAGGTCGCAGGAGGCCCCAAGATGGCCCCAAGAGGCCCCCAGGAGCCTCCCAAGAGGCCTCCAAGAGGCCCCCAAGAGGCCCCCAAGAGGCCCCAAGAGGCCCCCAAGAGGCCCCCAAGAGGCCCCCAAGAGGCCCCCAGAGGCCCCAGGAGGCACCCAAGAGGCCCCCAAGAGGCCCCCAAGAGGCCCCAAGAGGCCCCAAGAGGCCCAAGAGGCCGCCAAGAGGCCCCACGAGGAGTCCGAACGACTCACACCAGGACGAGGGGCCCGAACGACTCATACCACGAAGAACCCGAACGACTCACGCCAGAAGGAGGACCCCGAACGACTCCTACCAGGACGAGGCGCGCGACCCATTCACACCACGAGGAGCCCGAGCGACTCACACCACGACGCGCGCCTCGAACGACTCACACCACGAGGAGCCCGAACGAGTCACACCAGGAGGAGGGGCAGCGCCCAGACAAGCCCCCCAAGAGGGCCCCCAGAGGTCCACCATATGGCCCCAAGAGGTCCCCAGATGGGCCACAAGAGATCCCCAGGAGGCACCACGACGCCTCCAGGAGGTCCCACAGATACCCCCAAGAGGTCCCCAAGATGCGCCAAGAGGCGCCGAAGACGCCCCAAGAGGCCTCCGAGCAGCTTCATCTACTACTACTACGATTACTACTACTACTACTACTTACTACTTACACTACTACTACTACTACTACTACTACTACTACTACTACTACTACTACTACTACTACTACTACTACTACTACTACTACTACTACTACTACTACTACTACTACTACTACTACTACTACTACTACTACTACTACTACTACTACTACTACTACTACTACTACTACTACTACTACTACTACTAGTACTACTACTACTACTACTACTACTACTACTACTACTACTACTACTACTACTACTACTACTACTACTACTACTACTACTACTACTACTACTACTACTACTACTACTACTACTACTACTACTACTACTACTACTACTACTACTACTACTACTACTACTACTACTACTACTACTACTACTACTACTACTACTACTACTACCACTACCAGTACTACAACTGATCCTACTGGTACTACTTCTACTACTACGACTAGGAGCCGAAGAGGAGGAAGAGGAGGAGGGAGAGAAGGCGATGGGAGGCAAGACAGAAGGCGGTCGTTCACCAGTCTTACACGTAACCGACTCTGTCGACTCACACGACGGCGACGTCCTGGACCAGAATGCATGTGGTGTGCGTCGTTGGGGCCCCTCGCCCTGGTGTGAGTCGTTCGGGCTCTTCCTTGTGTGAGTCGTTCGGGCCCCTCGCCGAACGACTCACACATCGAGGAGGGGCCCGAACGACTCTGTCCAGGAGGGGGGACCCGAACTACTCACACCAGGAGGAGGGGCCCGAACGACTCACACCACGAAGAGCCCGAACGACTCACACCACAAGGAGGAGCCCGAACGACTCATACCAGGACGAGGCGCCCGACCCATTCACACCACGAGGAGCCCGAACGACTCACACCACGACGCGGGTCTCGAACGACTCAGAACACGAGGAGCCCGAACGAGTCACACTAGGAGAAGGCAGCGCTCATACTACTACCAGTACTACAACTGATCCTACTGGTACTACTTCTACTACTACGACTAGGAGCCGAAGAGGAGGAAGAGGAGGAGGGAGATGCTGTTGGAAGAGGAGGAGACGAAGAGGAGCTTGCTGTTTTGAGATGGGCTGGTGGGGATACGCGAAGCGTGAAGAATTTCTGGACTTTCGTCTTCCCGTCAATTGCCCGTAGTTGTTTGCCATCTTGTTCCTGGAACTGGACATTGATTTGCGTCTGTGTCTTTTGTTCCCTCTTGAGTGGAGGGGCAAGGTGAAGACGAAGCCAGGACAGAATAGCATCAACCCAAGACAGATCGGGGACCTCTGAGATCCCGCGGCTCTGAGGATATATGTATCGGGCGCCGGGCTTCTCTGAGCGTCCCAGGGCGCTCTGAGAGTGTTCTGGAACGCTCTGGAACTACTGATCCTTGTCCCAGAGCGCCCGACAGCGTCAAAAGGGGCCAGCTCAGAGGGAGAGACACTGAGCCAGAATCGGCGATACATCGACAACCGATCAAGAAATATGCCCCCAAACGCGAATCCAGAAGCTCCTGGGCGGGGTGGGCTATGGGGACCCTATCGGCGATGAGCGGGCGATTGGGGGTCGAAAGTCTTTCCCTGAGCCTCTACCCCCCCCTGCAACATTGCCCCTGACTGCGCCGCGGGCCTCGGGGCGCCGCGGGAAGGTCGACGACTCGGAAGGCAAATGTCGCGCTGGTCGGAAGACCCCAGCAACGTGTCACTGTCGGAAAGGGCCTTGGTCGATTATGGCAAACGCGACCGCCCTGGAATCTCCCCAACAAACTTCCCGCGAATCCCCGCGAATCTCCAGTCTCCGAAACAAACTGAATCTCCAACAAATCTTCGGTGAATCTGGAAGAAACTTCGCACATTAACAATCTTTCGGCGAGTATCCAACAAATGTCCGCCTCTTAAACTCTCCAACGAAATCCCTGCCAAAGATGTCCCAGAGATTTGACAGAGATGCAAATGATTGCCTGAAATGGATTGTAAATGTTTGAATCCCGGGGCCCCGGTAGCGTTTGCGATATTGACCCTATATAATGTTAGGGGAATGCAAGGCCTCGTCGACAAACATAAAAGAGCAATGCGCGCAATTTGAAAAACGACGAGCGTGTCCCGAACGACGGCGACGCGGACGACGACTGAGTGGCGACAACGACGACGATGCCTTCGTTTCAGGACCACTGGGCGTTAAGGCTGTCGGGGGCGGCCAAGAGGGGGGCGTCCAAGAGGGGGGGTGCAAATCATGAACGGCGGCATGTGCGCGGCCAAGGCGGCGGGCCTGGGAACGTATTGAAATGAGAAGAAGCGCCATGCAATCTGAGGAAATATCATGGCCCACGCCATGATATCCCCCCCCCCCTAGTCATCACCCCCCCTTTGCCGACCCCGAGGCTGGGCGCACCGCTGGAAAAATCGCCAGGATGGACCCCGGGAGGGGCCTGGGGATCAATTCCGACGGGATTCCGGCCGGGGGCACAGACCACACTGCGACGTAGGGGACGGCCGACTGTGGGCCACTCTCGGCCCCCGGGGGGGGGTCTTGCCGGGCCCCCTGGGACCGCCACAGAGGGGCTCGGGATGTGAGGCTGGCCATGGGAATGGGTGGGGTCGAGACCCTTGGGCGTCCACACCTTGTCCCAGAGCATAGCGCAGTGAGACAACGGCAGCTCAACATCGGTCTTGGCCGCGCCCCTCCTGGGGTCCAGACAAGAAATCATTCGAGTTGCGTCCAGCCGCGGCCACGAGGGGCCCCCCCGAAGGCCAAGTATCGGTGTCGCCATTCGCCCTCCTCTGACAACAGTAAGTCCGCCGACCCCTTGTGGGTCTCTAGGCGTGTGAGATAGTTCCCCTCCCCTATAGTCCCCCCCCAGGGACCCCAAACCGGAGATTTGACCCCCCCCTGATGGCCCCCCCCCCCGGCCCGGCACGAGCGACTCACGGGGCTCTTTTGGGCCCAAAAGGGGCTCCAGACGAGCCAAGAAGGCCCCAAGAGGCCTCCAAAACGGCCCACGATGGCCCCGAGACGCCAAACGAGCGCTCCAAGACGCCCACGATGGTCCCAAGACGAGCCAAGAGGCCTCCAAGACGGCCCAAGAGGCCTCCAAGAGCAGTCCTCAGAAGGGCCGACGAGCCGAAAATCGTCAAATTCCTATGGTAAAACGTACATTTTGATCATTTCCGACTTGTCGGCCCTCACGGGGTTGAAGACGGGCCAAGAGCACCCCAAGACCGCCCCAAGACGGCCTCAGAAGCCCCCAAGAGGCGCCTAAGTCGGCCCAAGAGGGCGCCAAGACAGCTCAAGAGGCTCCCAAGACGGCCCAAGAGGGCCCCAAGACGGCCACAAGAGGGGCCCAAGAGGGGGAGCCCGAACCGACAATCCGAGCCTTCCGCCCCAAGACGGCCGTAGAAGGCCACAAGAGACCCCAAGAGGCCTCAAAAACGCCCCCAAGAGGCCCCAAGAGGCCCCCAAGAGGCTTCAAAACGGCCTCAAAACGGCCCCCAACACGCTTCGAAACTGCCTCCAAGAGTCCCGCGAGAAGCCCCGCAAGAGATCCCAGCGATCACCGCACAAGCGGGATTCGCGCTCCCAAGGCTAAGAACCCATAATCCATGACCCAGATCATTTCCTCCCTGTGCCCCTCCTCCTCCTCCTCC